AACTACTGTGTTCCTGGGTGCAAATCGAACTATTAGGAGTTCCTTAAAAACTGAAGAAATGCAAACATTTTCATTTCCAAAAAAATTCTGAATTGCAAAAAATGTGGATGAAAGCAATACACCAAGATAATTATACCCGAGATTATACAATAACGAAAAATTCTGTGGTGTGTTGTAAACATTTTGAAGAAACCGAAATAATTTTTTGTTAAAGATTTTTTTTTTTTTTAAAGATTTGAAACAAACAAGGATAAAGGCGTAGTTCGAGAGTTCAAACTGAAACGTCCAACTCTTAAAAGTAGGTACCTCTTATTTTCGAAAATCAGCTCAAGTATTTGAATGGACCTGCCTTCCGAAAAAATCCCGAAGAAAGAAAAAGTTAGATTTTTCAAAAGACATACTGAAACATAGGCCTATAACACTTTAGACTCTAGAAATATATTCATTTAAATCAATTATTTACTGTTCTTATTTACACAAATAGTTATATTATTCATTGAATTACTGTTTTTGGCCCTTTAGTACAATAAATTATGCATTTTTCGTGATTCATATTATTAAAATAAAAAATATATATTTATAAAAACAAACACCACCAGCACCACTTGGCGGTAAGATTGCGGTGTTGCCTTTTTAACTTCATGGCTTGTTAAATGTAGGAGGCTGTGCAAGTACCCTATTACTGAATAGGGCAAGTACACGATCTGACAGTTTGACACTATTGACAGTCGCCTTGAGGTAAAACAAAGATATATTTACAGTGGTTTTTTAGGTTTTTAGTTAGATTTTTTTAATTAAATACCTTTTGTGTGGTCCAGAAGTTTCTTGGACATGCCTAGAGTTTGTTTAGTTGTTAATTCTGGCAGTATAACGCAAGGGATACAATATCCTTCCATAGGTTTCCATCAATTTTAAATAACAATGGGAGGTTTGATTTGTTAGCTCAAGAAAGAAGAGAAAAATTGATTAATGTTGTTAAAAGAGAAGATTTGACAGAAAAATAGATTGAATTATAGAGTAACTATACTTACATATTTGTTCTTGTGACACTTGGTTTTGATTTTTGTTGGAAAAACCCTGAATTTAATCCATTATAGAAAAACCTATCAAACTTCTGGATAAAAGACCACATAGACTGGAACATAAACACTTTACTTTAACTTTTTTAAAACAAAATAACACAAAAATTTGCAAAAAAGCTGTGAAAACCGCATAAAACATAACCGGCCTATCTACACCGATGTAAATAAATGATTTGTTTTACCTCAGGGCGATTGTCAAACTCATTTGTGACGTCACATGGACATGCCCTATTGTCATTGTACACATTGTTTTTGTTTTGATTTAATTTTTTGAGTAATCTGGGTAATCTGTCCTGAATCTTTCTTTATTCGCTTCACAAAAATGGGTTCCCTTGTTCAGGAAATAATTTCTTTAATTTCCAGTGGGGGATTGACTTTTGAAAAACGGTTGGAATTAAAGAAAAGTGGTGGTCCAATACCAAAGCTTGATTTATGCCAAACCACGAAAGAGCAGTCTAGGTTGAGTGCATTGGCTATGCTCAGTATTGAGAAGGCATTTATCAAAAAAATTGGGAACTTCAATGAACTAGTCATTGACCCCTTTGCTCATCAGAAGGATAGGAGAATTGATTTGTTGTTCAAACGTGTCTAAATTTGGGACTCAGTCGACTTAAACAATAAACATTAGATCCACCCAAAGTAAGTTATTTTTTCTATTTAAAATGTAGGGATGGGTATAATTAACTAAATTGTTGTTGTATTTTCTTTATTAATTAAATATTTACTAAATAACTTATTGCACGAATTCAAAAAGGTTTCTACCCTGTTGTTTTCTACTTGACGTAAGACATAAAGACATAACCTGAAATTAGTAGCAAGGATATTACACCTCTCCTCCGCTAAACCCAACAACTACGTCATCAATTGTCAAATTTCAAAATGACCATAAATGAGCGCAAAATTTAAATATTCAAATTTAAATTCCTACAAAAAGACAAAAACTAAAGCCAAAAAATTTAGTTTAATACCAAAAATTTTTCGCCTAAGGTGCTATTAGCCTGCGCCGCTGTCCCTCTTAATTTGACTCACCTGTAAAAATACTCACGAGCCGCGCCTGGTCTACAGTAAGATTAATGAGTCAGTCCGGAAGGGTTTCCTTTATTTTGTTGCCTCGGGTAAACGCGCTAAATCGGATCTTTTGAAAAAAGTAAAGAAGAAATGGAGAAAGAACATTAATTCGTTCAACATTATGTGCGAGCTCTAAATAATCAAAGCAATTGATTTAGAATAGTTTATTGATTTAAGGACGGAATGTCAGTACTCTAGTGACATGTTTATTTTGACTTTATTAATCTTAAAATGACTATGAAGTAAGTGATTCTGTGGTAAGTGAATTGAAAATGGGACTTCGCAAATATGTCATTAACTTGAGTGAACTTTTGAATACTTTTTTTTTTGTTTTGTGTAGTATAAATAGGAAATTTTAATGGCTATTGAATCAGTGTCCAGTGAGCTCTGTCTAATGAAGAGAATTAATGAACATTGAATTATTGATTATAGTTAAATATTTTGAAGTCTAAGAATTTAAATTAAATGCGTAATATTGATTTGAGATAGTATTGTTATGTCTGAGTGTATGTGATGTTGTTATGTTATAGTATTCACTCTGGCTGAGGTTTTAATTTTGAGTAAAGCTTTGTACAAATTTGGCAGTGAGGGAAATCAGGGGTTTCTATACGCTTATAGAATTGGACGTTTTAAAAATTGTAATGTTTTGACGTGTAGGAGTTTTGGTTAAAATTATGGTAACCTAATGTAGGTAGTAGGGCTCTATAAGACAGTTATTTAAGCACAAGGCTTTTGATTGTAACATTTTAATTACAAGCTCAGAGATAATATAGAGGTGGCTGTAAGTTAGCATCATTTAGATCTGTTTATTTTTGTTTTAGAAAGGTGTTGGATTAGGGTATATCTAAAAATTGTACCATTGTAATTTGGAAAAGCACTGTTTATTTTCTCGAATAAAGTATAATTATACTACTGCGCCTGAACAGACTAACCGGACTCTGGCACCTAAGACGCCATCTCCACAGCATGGGCATTACGGACGACCCGGAATGCCGCTGGTGCATGGAGGAGGAGGAATCGGCAGACCACGTCATTGGTGCGCGCGAGTGCGATTCAGTATATAAAATCTGTTTTTTTTAAAGATAAAAGTCAAAATGACATTATGTTGGCAACACAATGTAAGTTACTAAATTTTTGACTTGGGGAATTATCTTTAAATAAAAAACAGACTTTAAGTTATAAGTCACGCCATTTGGAGTTTGCTCTGTTGTGTGTTGTAGTAAATAAAATAAATAAAAAAATAAAATACTACTTTAGCTGGGTTTATACAGCAAATAAAATAAAATAAAATAAGAAATCAAATAAAATTGAAAGATTGTTTTATGAGAAGCCACGGTAGCGTTTATACACAAAAATAAAATAATATAAGAAATAAGCAAAAATGTTGGTTAACTTTTAACTTCTTATTTTATTTTATGTGAAAATCACAGAACGTGAAAATGCTATTTGCGCATGTCACGACGTCAATTAGATTATACCGATGACAGTTTAGGCGTGTGGTGATTGGTTCAAAATAATTCTAATTTAATTTAATATTTTCCTGTATAAACGCCTCATTTCTTATTATCCTTATTTGCTGCGTTATTTCTCATTTTATTTTATTTTATTTCCTGTATAAACCAGGCTTTTGTGCATGTATTTTTTTTTTCTTTCAATAGGTATGATGGATAAAAGAAAAGAATAAGACCCCTTAAAATGTACTCTTTTAAACACACTTGGCCAATTTAGTTTGCCAGGGACGTACACGCGATTTTCGCGAAAAAGGGGCTTGAAGCATTCTGGAGGGTCCAACAATCTTTTATTAAAAATATGGAATGCATAAGATTAGAAGTAGCTCATGTTGAGCCGACATACGAAATTATTTAATAAAAAAACAGTGACAAACAAAAACAGCTTCCTCTCGAAACCAGCTCATCGAATAAGAGTAAGAGTACCTACCTTTTTTTCTAGTTCAAGGTTCAAAGCATTATTGTGTTACAGCTAGTCCGTCCCTAGCAAACTGAATTGGCCAAAGGTGTTTAAAATGGTCCATTTTAGGAGGTCTTATCCAGGGAGGATTTAAATCACTCACATAAATTGTAATTTAAATCACACGCTACATGTATAACGAACCAAAACTGTCTACCAGTACCACAACTGGAAGCTGAAGGTGATGAAGATATAATTTTGACACCAAAAGAACAGCAAAGAGCATTGCATTGTGCAGAAGAAAATTTGACGCTGGTTTCTCAACCTTTGGTATAGTACGCAGCGATGTGAGAAATCAATTAGGAGTTAACAAGGGTGCAAAATTTAAATTTTTAATGAGGCAATGTAAGAAATGGACCCCTTTATTGTTAACTGATTTTATTTCTTTCTTCATTTACCAAAACATTTGACCACTGTTAATTCAAATTGATTCAAATTAAAAAAAAAAATATCATGATTTAAACAAAAAGAATCTGATTTTTTTTAAAAACGATTATTAGAGGCGTCCTTTAGGGGCGCGTAACTTCATAGGTTTTTTTATAGGAAATTGTGATGTTACTTTTTTGTGTTTTATCTGAATCCGAGAGATTGCCTACATATTCTGGGACACTGTATATTTTCAAATATCAATCAACCTGTGCAATCAACTACATATGTTTTCCTCAAATTTATTACCTACCTTTAGCAACGTTCTCTGAAGATTTTTTCACAGCCCAGCAAGTGATTTTTTGTGAACACGCCGTAAAATCTATATTGTTTTCTACTAGAGTCTTATCCAGTGCTGTAACATACTTCCATAGGCCTTCGTCACCTGAAAAGTATCAAAATATGACTGGCAGGTTCTTAGAAGTCAATTTCAGTTATCAAATTTTGTTTGGGAAAAATAAATCTAAATTTTTGTGTTTAAAAGTAAATTTCTACAAAATAAATTCCTATAGTTTTAAAGAATCGTTTTCAGGAAACAATTCGAAAATGCATAACGACCAAATCTACGTTTTGGAAATGATTGTTAAAAAGATTGACTTTTTATCTCCGATTCGAATCAATGATATTAATGCCTTGTCTGTTGGATTCAAGTTTGTTCAATTGATAAATTTTGATATTGATACTCGTTCTTTTTCCCCGCCTGAAATGGATGGTAAGTAACCGCGAAACTAGTAAAATTTTAAATATTATCTCCGGTTTTCTAACAGTATTTTTTTATTACGAAATACTTATGATAGTTTCCATTAGGCAGTGCGCCGGTCTGCAAAATTTCATTCAATAGTTTGGGCAAAGATAATCCTACTCTGGAGTAGGATTATCTTTGGTTTGGGCAGTGCATCACATGCTTTTGAGCACTTCTTAAAACAGGTGATAAGGCATATGATCTGGACTTGAACTAGAATGGCTTCCTCGACTATCAGGAGTGAAGAGTGAAGTTTATTGACGACAATGACGACATGTTCAACTCAAAATATGAAGATACCTACGGAAAGTCCTGAAAGTATGTTATGTTCAAAAGAAAATTCACTGATGTTTAATTAATCTGCAGATCTCTACGCAACATCTATATCTGATTCAGTTTGGTTCAAGTGATTGTTGATATTTTTAAATTTGGAGTTGACCTGCTTTCGAATATTTAAAAAAAGTTTAGTGTGCTTGATATCGCATATATCATTTTTATATCTACTAATTATCAGTTGCTACCAGGTAATATGCGGAGGAAATATGAGCTCTTATTCAAATACCTATAATTAATACTGTAGTCTAGTCACACGCAACAAACCTTGTTTAGGTTCTCGATCACATTTTTTTTCCCAGAAACTGGCAAAAGTTTTTTAATGAACTATGGCAAAACGTTCCTTTTCGTTGTCAAACCATCTACCCTAAGACAACTACTTCAAAGTGACCCTTTTATAATTCAACTGCACGAAGGTACTCGGACGTTGGGATTGGCTACAGTGCCATGGAAAAAGGAATTTGCTGAAATGGTAAAATATTTTGAGACGCTCGGTATAGTGAAATCCACAACTGTTGAAGGTAAGTTTTTAAGGTTCACTGAGGTACTTTTAGGTATCATAGATGTTTGTAGATACATTTGAGTTGCACAACGAAAAAAACGAAATTACAGCCAAAATAGAAATTTTCCTAAGAATGTCCTGTTTCGGCCAAAACGTTCAAACAGTATTTCAAATCAGGAAAGCAGGAACCAAGTTCGAATACCTATTTAGACAAAGAAACGCTTCTAAAACTTTTACAGTTGAGAAGTAGGTACCAGAAAACTACCAGTCAACTTCAAAACAGTACTAAAATGCCTTAATTTCAGATATGCAGACGAAAGAAACCAACCACTAGTAGGTCCCATGTTCAGCGCTGTCATAGTTGATGGCATGAGCAATAGAGACGCTGTGAATTACACAGAAAATGTGTCGTTGACAAAAATATTTGAAAGAGATAATATGACAATAAAAGACAGTACTTATCAGCGCCCTGAAGCTGCTGGAGAAGAAGGAGGTAAAATATATTTTGTGTAAATACAGTCAGGAAGTGCTTTCAAAATGTCACACTATATATTAAATCTAAGAGTGACCCATATTATTTCACCTCTTGGGTATTTCGAAAGCATTTCATTCTGATTCAATTTCCGTATCTCCTCAATCGAGTAGATCCATATCAATAATTTTCTCTCACAGGTATTCAGTTGGACTTTCACGACATGGAACAAATGTCCATATGCTTTAGGCCATCCGAAAATAAATTTTTCGATTTCTTGCACTTGATCAGGTGAATGTATTTAATTAATTAAGTATTACGTTCAAAATTTACAATCCCTAAAAAATATTTGCATGCACTAACAACACATCTAATATTTATAGCGCTGACGTTAAAACAACCAGGAAAAAAACCGAAATAACGCTACACCGTAAACAAGCTGATCGTACTGAATCTTTTCTCAAATCGGTCGGAGGTGACCTAAAGACCCATTCAAATTTGGTCGTTTTAGAAAAAGAAGAGGAAAATGAAATGTGTTCAAGCGAAATCTCCAAGCAACTTTGCAAGAACAAATTTTGTCCTGCCACGAAAAAATTTGCAGAATATGGTAAGAATTTGATTTCACTGAATCCAAAAAAAAATCTACTAAGAACTCTTTCCGAACAAAAAAGGAATTGTTGTACAATTCACTAACCAATTTTTTAGGTATAGGTCCGCTTGCAACAGGCCCAGGTTTGGGAACTCTGTACGGAGACATAGAACCTCCGGTGACTTACGGTTTGAGCCATGCTTATGGTAGCATGTGCGAATACGGTCCTTACGGTGCTTTTTCAAGACCCAAGCATGAAGAATTGCCTTTCGAACCCTTATCGCCTTGCGTCGAGGACAAGATGAAGGAAAACCCTACATGGCACAGCCCCGGCTGTCCTCTAAGTACAGAAAAATAGAAACAAAAATTTGATTTATGTATCGACAGTAATAGGTGAAGTTATTAAACGATTATATTGATCCAATGTAGGCTGTGGCAAATTAAGTAGTGTAAGAGACCTAAAAAAACATAAATTAATTTGAAAGCACAAAAATTATATTTCGAAAGAATTCTGATTTAACCACCTTGAGACAAGTCTCCACGTTAACTACCTATTCTTACAGAAAAATTCATCACTATTTTTGCAACGGAGAGGAAAAATACCAAGGGACCGTTTTATGACTAAGACGCCATATAGCTCCGTCCCTTCTCGGTAGATACCACAACTGGCCTTTCGTATTACCGTGGGAAAAATCAATATTAATCGTATTTTCTAGTGTAGGAAAAATACAAAAATATACAAAAAAATGGTGTTACTTTTACAAGATCAGTTTACATCTTAACAAATATGAGGTCCTCGTCATGAACACTTATTTAAAGTCCTTAAACTTTAAACTTAAACCTAAAACTAAAGGTACCTATATGGTCTGCAGAACTTTCAGTTCCCTAAATTATTATTTTTGTCTGAGGTACACTAGACCACTAGTCCCTTTAAGAAACTCGGCTACAGATATGCTAGTTGGTTCGGCACACCAAGACTTCAGCATACTGAGCTGTAAACATCATTTTCCGGACACACTGGATCCTTAGCACACTAGGCTAATAACATGTAAAATTGACACACTGGATCCTTAGCACACTAGGCTAATAACATGTAAAATTGACACACTTGGTCCTGGGCACCGATCTCAAAAATAAATGGATAAACAATCGTACGGCTTGATTGGCTAAATTTGTGCGAAAATTTGGGGTCAATACTCTACGAGCAGTTGTGCAACGGAACGGCCTAACGCCTGCGCAGTGTCTTATCTTTCGAACAACTGTTCTAAATTTTGAAATATCTTTCATTTTCATTGACAATATTTTGCGCATGCACAGTACATATATCTACTGTGCGTGCTCACAGCTGTCCTAATTGTTTACATTATGACCTCGTAAATTAGCAGCATTAGAAGCGTTTTTTGTTTATCCATTTATTTTTGAGATCAGTGGTCCTGGGTCATTACATTAGCACAGTAGATTATTAACATGTTAAATTGACATTGACATACTGGGTCATTAGCACACTAGGCTATTATCATGTTTTTTGTTTATCCATTTATTTTTGAGATCAGTGGTCCTGGGTCATTACATTAGCACAGTAGATTATTAACATGTTAAATTGACATTGACACACTGGGTCATTAGCACACTAGGATATAAACATGGTAAATTGACACACTGGGTCATTAGCACATTAGGCTATTCACAGATTATGTTCTGTGATACACTAGATCACAGAAGAGTGGTTTACTGCACCTCCGTTACTAAAGTAGTCCCCTAGACCATAAATTACAGTACGCAAAAAATATCCATTATTTTTATTTATTTTTTTCTATTATTATTATTATTTATTTTTTTTTCATTTTCATTTTTCTATTACTCGTCAGTTTGAGGTACAAACATTCTTAGCTTATCACTTGAGATTACAGCTTTAAATCTTCTCTTGTCCTGACACCACCTTATATCTGTCATTCGGTAGGACTTCAACGATTTGCACCGGGCTAATGTATTTTGGTACTAGCACACGCTTTCCACTGGTCAAACCCCTCACCCTTCAACTAGTACGATATCGCCTTGTTTATCTCTTTGCTTCCAAGTGAGATCTATCAAATCTCTTTTTCATCTTTCTAGAGGATGCGTCGCATCTGGTTTTGGCAATCTGACGAATATTTTCCAATTTTTTTCTTCCATTCATTATCTCATAATCCACTTTTGGCCTAAAGTCATGAAGTAGCTCGCTGGAAGCGAAATTAGTTGTAGCATTCTTTGTGCCATTAATGCCCCGTTGAACCTGATTGACATGCTGATTCCATTCGTGATGATTATCATTAATACTGGCTGCTAAAGCTTCCATTTGACCTCTCCACCTGTCCGTTACTCCTGGGGGACGCTATTGAATTTTTAACATGCTTTATATAATATTTGATGCAAAAGTCTTTAAGCATCTGGCAATCGAACCCTTTTCCGCTTTCAGTGATTATTCTAGTTGGAGGATGAACAAGTTTTATTAGTTCCAGTTTTTCGCAGATATGTTTTTCGTCTGAACAAACTGATCGAAGTCACTTCAGGTTTGTTTCAAACAATTTTCATCCGGTTTTAAAACGATTTCATTGGCCCCAGCTGTTTTTTGACGGTTCATGAACAAACCTCATGTGATCACAATCAGTTTGTTCAGATTGAAAGAATACCAGGATTGGCTACTTGTATCTTTAACTGGTTCGACCCAAACATATTTTGTGAAGGTATCAATAATCAATTAATATGACAAGGATTTGAGTAAGTCCACTTTTGGTTTTAAAAAAGGGTCCTAGGTGGTCCATATGAAGCGTAATGTAATGATCCGGGAAAAATAGTCCCGATATCAACAATGTCTTAACTGTAAAAATTAAATAATATCAATTAATCAAAAACTGAATTTCCGGTATTTCCAAATCAGTATCGATAAATTAAAAATGGAACAAATTATTGTGACCCCAAATACATTCGAACTTATATTATTTCGTCAGCCCGCGTGATGTCATCTCCTCCTGAACGTCCGAACAATGAACTTTTTTAGCAAGGCCATAATAATTAAATCGAATGATTTATGGCATTCTTGAACCAAAAAATATTCGTGACCTCTATAAATCAGGATATTGTGACCTAATTATTCGATTTAAACTAATAGAATGATAAAAATTTCAAGGAAATTGCATCATCTTAATTGTCATGGACAGAGAAATTTGGGGGGATCGATTAAATATAAATACCACGGTTTTAGAAGTGGAAGGCAGTTGTCAGTTGAGTTGCCAGTTGTTAGCAGTCCAGTCCAGTTTGAGTTAAAGTTTATAGTACCTAATGAGTCTGTCCGGTTGAAATTCGCGAAAAGTTCTTAGTGAGGCCTCGGGGAAAACGGGTACGATTTAACTTAAAGTACGGAAAATCGAGAAATAAATAACATTTGAAATTAGTTCAAAATTATGTGCGGGCTCCAAGTAATCAAAAGAATTAAATTAGATTAGTTTTGTGTTTTATGGACAAAATGTAACCTACTCTATAGTGACAAGATTTAATTTGAATATAAATGATGAACATGACTTTGTGTGATTAAACTTTGAATTTTAATGCCTAAAAACTTGAGTGATTTTCACTAGTAAAACTTTCTGACTTTTATCAATAATTCTGAACGATAAGAAGTGAATTAACAAATGACTTTTAATGCCTAAAAACTTGAGTGATTTTTACTAGAAAAACTTTTTGACTTTATAAACTTGAGTGATTTTTCCTAGAAAAACTTTTTGACTTTATAATTAACTGTGAAATATTGCATAAATATTAATAATTCGAGTGTTTTATAAATGGAACATTATTGCATAACTTTAATCGCCTTCAGATATAATGACATTCTAATTTAATTTTGTACCAACATTATGAAGGGAATTTATAATGCATTTAACATAACTTAATAAGTATCGAATTTGAGTAGGGATTATTAAAATAATTTTGAATTGGATTGTCCAATTGAAGTTACGGGCTATAGTAACGAGCTAAATAGAATTTAAATAATTGTGTATGTAAGCCCGGATTGCGAAAAATAGTAATTGTTCTAATTTAAAGGAAATGGGATGTTTTGAAAAGAAACTTGTGCATGAAATAAGTTTGTTGACGGTAATCATTCAATGTAATGGAGTGGTTAGTTTAAGAACTGTTGTTCGTCATGAATTGAAATTGCTGACGATAATCATTAGACGTATTGAAAAGGTTTATATGAAAGGACATGCCACAAATAACATGGGCAGTGGCCACCGGCTAAATTGGCTGAAATGTTAGTATGTTATAGAGGATGTCTTGCTGACCAATGTTTAAATGGAACTAATTTTTCTATGGGCCATAGTAAGGCCACAAATCGCAATTGAAGTTTAGAAATCCGCAAAAATAGGCATTTTTCATTTGGACCTTTGTCTTGCAAATAGACCCTTCCACAATTTTATAGGTAGCAGCTCCAAGGAAATAAACACCATCAATATACCGCTCGCCATTTACCATCTAACTAATTACATAGAGTACTTGGGGCGTTTTGCTACAGTAAACGGCTCCGATATTTTTTCTATTGATGGATGTTATTTTCCGTACTGTTCACCAGTAGATCTTTTCGCTTTTAGGCATTCGAAACAAATTTTCACAAACTTTTTGACAAATGGTCTCATCATATCATTAAACCAATAGGTATTTGGATAAAAGCTTCAAATCTTTATCCTGAGCTTGTACACAAAAAAAACAATCTTTCTTATGAATTGCCATAATAATAATAGGATTTCGACTTAGTGCGTCTGCATGCTGCATTTTTGTACTGGGCATATGTTCAATAGTGAAGTCGTACTCTTGTAGCTCTAGCCACCATCGACCAATAAGTGGTGTCAGATCTCGTTTAATCCAAGTCAGGCGTATAGCACTACAATCAGTTATTATTACTAAGTGCCTTCCATATTGCTGCGGAATTTCTCAACTGCTTCGAAACTCCCAATGTTTCCAATTTGTAGCTATGGTATCTAGATTCTGCATCTGTTGCGACTCATACAGGGTGTCCTTAGATAAACTGACACATTTTGCAGGTAAATATTTCGAAAACGGGAAAAGATAACGAGATGCGGTTTGTTCTGGGAGAATAAGGATTTTTTAAAGTTTTTTTTCACATTATTGCCGAATCCTAAAATTTGTTGAAATTTGGTTCTACAGACATGCGATTTTTTGAAATAAAATGACTGCCTTATTTCTAATGAAACACCCTGTATATTTTGTCTTCGTCAGAAAGCCTGATTTTTCTGCTTTACAAAAATGTATAATTTTTTTTTCAATTATTTTGAACTTGCATCGTGAAAATTGCACTTTGTCGAAGGGAATACCATCGACTAACCAACAAAAAATTGAGAATTAATTTGTGTTAAATACTTTTATTAACTAATTAGCGCATAGTTAACTAATAATACAAGTATTAAACACAAATAAGTGCATATAAAACACAAATAATTAATTATTATAATTTTTTTTTAGCCAGTCGATGGTACACTCTTCAAGAAGGTGCATGTACCTACATCTTTAAATTACATGCATGCTTCCAAAGGTGGTTTGATAGAAATATTTGAAGATTTTTTG